CTGGCTGTGAGGGACCCAGATTTATCCGCAGCAATCAGCTTGGAGAACTGCTCGTTGATGCCGGACATGGTGCCACCCTCTGAGAACGCTGATGCCATGCTGGCCTCTGAGACAGATCCAGTATTATCCGCTCTATGTTGCATTTTATCCATCTTGCTCTGGTGTTTCTTCTTCACTTTCTCACAGAGTTTTATACGTTTCTCTGCTTCTTTGATGGCCTCTTTCTTTAGATTGGCAACCTTCTTTGGATTTTGGTTGGTCTGCTGCGATGAAGCAGCATCTAGGAAGCGCACGCAGTCCATGCGGTCGCGAGAAGCAGCAACGTCCATAGCTGTGTGGGATTCATTGTCCAGTGCAAAAAGGTTAACACCGAAGTTGACGAGAAAGCTAAGGATGTGCATGTGGCCATTAGCAGCAGCGTGGTGCAGAGGTGTATTTCCCCAGATGTCACTCTTGTTGGGGTCTCCTCTGTTTGAAACAAAAACATATTTATTTTAAAGTAATAATCTGCAACTCTTATATGGGTTGGACTAGAAATAGATATACATAGGATATCAGTGACATTTAGAGGAGCTGGTAAGTAGATTTTGGACAGAGCAAGGCTAGCTTTTAAAAAATATTTGTACAGTCTTCGGACACTAAGCTAAGTTAGCTAAGAAGCTACAGGTGTCAGACAATCTTCTAATCTGACTCTTAGCAAGAGAGCAAATATTAATTTCCTAACCCTTTACATTTAAGGTTAGAATTAACGTCTTTCATGTCAAACAAAAACTGATGACATATAACTTCATAATACCAAACACAGCGAAGTGAATTGGTAAACTATTAAGACTTAAAGTCCTCTTGCGCTGCGCCTCATTGTCACAGCCATAAAAGTCTTTATTGCTGTATTCCTGCAATACAGTGTCATAAAAACCAATGACCAAAGTAGAAGAGATGTAATTACTTCTTTCCACGTAGCAGGGTGAGGTGCGTGTTACGCCCTGCTGAATAGGCTGTCCCAGAATCATATTTTTTCAGTAAGAATGCTGTTCTAGATTGAAGCCTCTGTTTTGTTATGTTGAACAAATGATTCGGTGGGGGTTGTGGTTACAGATAAAGGGCTCTTTTGTTTCACAGGAGGTTTTTGGTTGATTAAACATTTGGCTCAGCTCATGGGAGTGGAATTAAGTTTTAGCTTGTTATCTTCAGAGACATGTTTAAAACCAACACATGAAGAAAAAACATAGATGCAGTCCTAAATAACTGATTAGCTGTATACAATTACATATTATAGTAAGTTTATTGGACAACATGCTACAATGTGCTCACTGAACATTGACTGTATCTTAGTTTAGTTATAATGTGCATAATACATCAAGAATTTCAGCAGAAATTGCTTTAAAATGTATGGTTTTCTAAAAATGTAACAATTCAGCCAATTTACCAAGCCTTTTCATTAACCATAAATGAGATTAAGCTGGCTATATATGCAAAATTACGCCTAGATGATAGAGAGGAGTGCATCATGCTTACTCTCGGCTGCATATGAGCTGAAGAACATCAACATGTCCGTGGAAAGCAGCCAGTAAAGTGGGAGTCATGCCATCCTCATCCGTAGAGTTCAAGTCCTTCCTCGTGGCCTCCTTCAAGAGGTCCAAGTATCCATCAATCGCTGCTTTGTGGTACCTAGACATCTCTTCACAAGAACAGAAACGTCTCTTTTTTCACTTTTCCCCCCACTCTCCTGTCAGATGCACACACTGACTGAACTGCACACACAGAGCAAACAAAGTGCTCACTGGGCGTCAACGAATCAGCAGATCAGAGCCATAAAAGAAAAGCAAAGTCCAGTTCACTGCTGTCAGGCACATAATCTTCTGCTGCTTGAGATCATCATTAAGGTGTGTTTAAGATGCATTGTACAGTGTGGTCACAGCAAATATTTCCAGTATGGCCTTATCATTTTCTCATCTAAAGAAAAACTGTTCGTACAGTGATCATCCCACAAACATAGTTTATAATAATATAACTTCCACAACTTAACTTAACATAACCATTTTTTTTATACTGAAGTACAATTTTATATGGAAGACTTTTTGATTATAACACTATACTTGATCATTTTTTACGTTACATTTAGATTTTGTTATCATTGTCATTGTATGGTTATCTTTTAAAACCGTAAACATTTCATTCATATTTAAACTAAAGTAAAAGTACAGAAGTTTCAATTGAATATTTCCATTGTATGCATCTTTATTGCCTACTTGTGTTTCACTAGCATTGGAACAAAATATACACATTAATTCAATATTAGAATGAATCCATATAATAGTATAATACTTCAAGGAAAATGTTATTACATAACGAGTATTCTTTCATATTTTAACCCCTCTCTTGCGTTAGGTCATACCCCCCCATACTATTTTCGGTCAAAATGTACCGGTGTGTTTTGCACAGTCATATCTCTGGAACCCCTTATCCGATTTTGATGGTTGACATCTCGTTTGAACAGTCAAAGCAAGTAGGATCAAGGGGTGACAGACATAATGACACCAGGGGTGAATTTTACGTTATAATTGTGCAGTAGTGCATGTGTTTGGTGGTGCAAAGAGAGTGCTTACTGTACATTACTGTATATTATAAAAATGCTTGCCATGTAGACTTTCTTTACTGGAGATGGAAATTCTTGAGTTGGTGTTGTAGCTGAGATTCTACCTGTTCCAATGATGTATGGGATGTATTGATTTGATACAAGCAAGTCAGTGTTTCATTGTGTACTTTCAACTACAGTATATGGTCCGGACCCACCGGTGGGCCCATCAAGTTCAGCATTCACTGCATTCACTGTGATGAATATAAAATAAGACACTGATACTGTTTTCCTCAATAAATATTTAGAGAAAAAAAAATATGCAGGGCTTCTCTCCCTCAGGGGCCTCTTCCTGGTCTGTTGACTGTTGGTCAGGCTCGTCTGGATCGCTGTTGTCTTCCATTTCTGAGACATCGTCCTCTATGTCTGGTTCAATGTCCTCTTCATCTGGTTCAAAACATTTGTCCAGAGCCTCTCTGACAGAAAATCGCCTAATCGGTCGCCTACTCATTGGTCAATGAGTCAAATGTGAGCAAGGCACAAATATAACTGCATGAGAGACATTAATGGAGGGCCATTTACTGCGAGAAAGTGAGAGGTTTTTCGTTTTCGAGGGGCACAGAGCTCGCACCTGTGAGAAGGTATGATACATTGTATCAGCGCGAGAAAGTGAGAGGTTCCCATAACTTAGAGCAGTGTTTCTCAAACTTTTTCATACCAAGGACCACTTAACCAATAAAAAAACACTCGAGGACCACCTAACTCCACAAATATCCAAAAACATATCGTTTTTTAAAAATCGCCTGAAAATGGTACCAACAAGTGGCAACATGTGTGATGAAGGTGTTTATCTGGGCTATATCATGCAATCGAAAGTGAAACTTAAGCTTGCTCCATTGCGGAGATATTTCCGCGAGAGTGCGAAAAACTTAAATTACTTAATTAATTTCAAATGTGAAATGTTACCAATATACTCACGGACCACTAGGGGGCGCTCGCGGACCACACTGAGAAGCACTGACTGTAAATTGTTTTTTTGTGTGTGTGTGTGTGTGTGTGTGTGTGTGTGTGGGGGAAACATCTTACCATAGTGCAGCAATGTACAAGCACACTGTGTTACCAGAATGGTTTGGTTTTTACCAATGATGTCTTTGCTAACATCCCAAATACACCTGATGTTGTTTTTGTTGACACCAACCACAGGGAGGTGCTAATATTAGAAGTAGGCTGTACCTTTGACCTGTACATGGACCAGGCTTTCCAGGACAAGTATATCAAATACCAACCACTGCTCGATGTGATAACCAGCTTTGGGTACAAGTGTAGATACAGCATACTCATATTCGGAAGTCTTGGCCATGTATATAAATGCACCATGATTGGTCTGAGAATTGCTGGAATGTCAAAGAGAAAAGCCAAACAAATTGCTAAATATTGCTCTGTTTCAGCTATTATTGGCTGCTTAGTCGTGTGGAGAAGGAGATGCTATGTGTTCATGTGTTCCCTTAAGGCTGCTGCTTAGCCGTGTGGAGAAGGAGATGCTATGTGTTCATGTGTTCCCTTAAGGCTGCTGCTTAGCCGTGTGGAGAAGGGGATGCTATGTCTTCCCCTAAGTGTTCTGTGCTGCTTAGCCCCGATATATTTGATTCCCTGTCTTATGTAATATAATTTGTGGAACCAAATAAAGTATTGTGTGTGTGTGTGTGTGTGTGTGTGTGTGTGTGTGTGAGATGTTTTCCATCTGCAGGATGAACATAATACACTCATACCCATTCATTTCCTATGGCGGTAAATTCTGAGTGAAAACATCATGGGTGTTTCACTGTTGAATAAATCACTAAAAATTCAATGCAAGTGGTGATCATCAATTGTAGCCTACTGTATATGTTCAGAGGCCTAGTGTGGAGGATAACATAAGGTCTTGAGGCAATTGGATGAAAAACATAATATCTATGATAAAAAACAAAGTCACTCGGTCACTTTTGACCCGAAACGCAAGAGAAGGGTTAAGTGCATTTTGCTGATAAAGCTTTAGTACTTTTGAATGCAAGACTTTAATTTCTAGTGAAATATGTCCACAGTGTGGCATACATAGCCTACTTTTAATCAAGTAAAGATCTTATTAAACATTCAACAAATGCAAATACTATACTGCAAAAGTCAAGAAAAAGCAAGACAAAAGTAAAAAAGAAACGATATTCTCACTGCTTACTATTTACATGGTTATTTCGCTTCCTCTGTGCTCCAAACGGAATTATTGTATTATTATTGTATGTAGTTTCTTTTATTTGGTATTGTTTTAATACACCACTGCACCCTCCACTTCAGTAGGTGGCTGTCGTGCGTCTTTGAGGCTTTCCAAACGCCAACAGAAGAATAAAACAAGTTGACAACCAATGAATGGGCTCTGGGAGGAAACCCATGGAGGAAACACTGCGCGTCACTTTCCCCTTTCTAATCTGTCTGCCTCAAAGCTTTTAAACACTATGGAGTCAGAGCAGAGACAGTTTCCCCGCAGCTAGAAAAACAGACCGACCACCGGCTCTCTCTCTTCGGGTCACTCCGCGGTTACTTTCCGGTGTTTTGTGGTCAGACCGGGAGAGGCTACAGAGATGTCCGACAACGGTGGCTCTGCTGTTGGCCTTCTGTCTTACGAGACGCTGGTTCACGCTGTGGCAGGTGCAATGGTGAGCAGAGATAAAGTGCAATACAAGTAATGCAATAATGTGAAGGACATAGCCTGGTCTGTGTGTTACTAGTTTAATGTTGGCTGTGCATGTTTTTAGCTTCTCCCTATCCATAACCATAAACATTTAACACAACAGCTACTTTACACAGCTGTAATTTAGATAGTGTACTGTACACAGGTGGAATTAAGTGCATTTACTCACTGTTCTTAGGACTTTTACTTACAACAAAGTATTCCTACACTCTTTTACTTAATTACAAGATCTGAGTACTCCTCCCACTTCTGTGTATGTTTCTGCTACTGTAATATATTGGTATTTTATAGAACTATCTATAGCATTGTATATTGAATATTCGTTATGGTTCGTGTCCTTATACAGTATGTATATAGACTTGCTGCTGTTTATTGTTTTAATTGTATTGTATTTATTATGTTTAGACTTTTTTTCTACCTTTTTTAAGGATTTTAATGCCTGAACCCATTGCTGCTGCTGTAACAAAAATAATTTCCCAATCTGTTGAAGAATCTATTGAAGAAACAACTGAAAATGAAGTGAATGAGCCTTTTGTCACTTTGTTTAGGCATGCTTTCCCATTACAATGCGTTGTCTTTTAGGGGAGTGTGACAGCAATGACAGTCTTCTTTCCTTTGGACACAGCGAAGAGCAGACTGCAGGGTGAGTTTGAGGTCTTATCATGTTGTACAGAGGTTACCCGATAGAAGCGACTCTAAACAGCGTTGAATGAGTAAGGTGTGAAGGTTAACTTAATCATGCATTAACTATACCTGCACGGCAAAGATGTGAAGAAGCAGTAAACTAATTATGTATAGCGTTAGACCTAGCTATACTGAACTTAAATCCTCAATTTTGTCTCACTCTTTTAGTCTGGCCTTTCTGCAACTTTTGTTAATTTATTTTGTGTATGTAGGTAGTTTTGTCCTTATTTTTGATTGCTTTATAAAAAAAATCTATTCAAATTGTACTTACTTTCCTCTTTCTTGATACCCCACATAACTTGTAAACATCCTTGTATCCCCCATGTTTGTCACTATTGTACATTTAAAATCTCAAACCCTAAATCAAGGTAAAACTGGTTTGTTAATTTCAGATTTGAGAAAGCTTCTTTAGTGCCGCAGAAACATACTATTGAGGATAAGTAGTACTTTTTCTGTCAAGTGAACTATTCTAAACATTTCCCTGTTTATATTTGTTTTTCAGTTGATGAGAAGAGAAAGTCTAACTCTACCCCTGTCATCCTGGCTGAGATAGCAAAGGAAGAAGGCCTGTAAGAATAGATTTTATGCTGGTTACAAATGACACCAAGACATGGCTTATTTTTTTATAAAATACATGCTGTTTGCTTGGAATTTCAAGTAAAATGTCTCTAAAGCAGTTACTTTTACAATCATAAATGCCAATATATTATTTGGGTCCAGCTTCTTTAATGTGATATATACTGTTTTGTTTTATAAATCTGACTCTCTATGTCTTCTCGCAGTCTGTCTCTGTACAGAGGATGGTTACCAGTCATCTCCAGCCTCTGCTGCTCCAACTTCGTGTACTTCTACACCTTCAACACGCTGAAGAAGCTGGCAGCATCTGGCCAAGGGACGTCCAGACCGGGGAAAGACCTGCTCATGGGTGTGGTATCAGGTAAACACACGTAGAGTTGAACTTCTTCATGACCTGATGGAAATTATCAAGTACTAAAAGTTTCAAGCAACCTAAATATCTACTGTTCCTGCAGGGGTGGTGAATGTGATCCTGACCACTCCCATGTGGGTGGTCAACACTCGACTGAAGCTGCAGGGGGCAAAGTTCAGGAACGAAGACATCCAGCAGACCCAGTACAGGGGCATCTTTGGTGTGTAACACAATATATGTTTCTCATGGTTTCACGGTTTAGTTATTTTTATTTCTGCGCATTTGTAAACCCTGCCATGTTTGGGCTTTCCCTCTCAGATGCTTTCTCACAGATCATCGCCAATGAGGGAGTAGGAACTCTGTGGAACAGCGTCATGCCTTCTCTCATCCTCGTGATCAACCCGGCAGTACAGTTCATGATTTATGAGGCCATGAAGAGGAGGGCAGGCAATGGAGGGAAGAAGGTGCGAGGACACAGGAAATACACTGCCTTGTATATATAATAATACATTCCCATAGCCAAATTAAACGGCCTCTTCTACTTTTCTACTGGGTTGGAAAACTCTGCTGTCAAGAAAATGTGAGCTCACATCAACGCTGATCAAATGAAAACAACTATCTTCCCATTGAAGGGAAATTACTTGCTTAACAGGATGGAGAACCTGCTCTAATATAAAATACATTCTGTCTTACGTTTTTTGCTGGTAAAGACCAACTATTTACACTTGTTGCCTTTTTTACTTGTTGCTCTGATGACAGAAATACTCATTGATTTCATATAATTGTATATTTTTCTGTGTGATTAAGTTAAATTGGTCATGATTTTCTAGCTCCTTGTTTTCTTGAGAAAGCCATTACTAGCCAAAGTCCTGATTTCTCAAGAAAATATGAATATAAAAAAGAATAGCCAATTGAACTTTTGATATGTTGCACATTTTGTTGATTAAAAATGGCAGTGAATTACCATCAACATAAATTAATTACCATTAACATCTGTACAAAATGCCTCTTTTGTGGATACAAATTACAGTTGTAAATAATGCCAGTGGTCACTTTGTTTTTATAGCCAAATTAATTCATTATTTCTCTCCTACCACAGATATCCTCAGCAGAGATCTTTCTCATTGGAGCCATCGCCAAGGCTGTTGCTACCACGGCGACATATCCTCTGCAGACCGTCCAGGCCATCCTCAGGGTAAATACTATGTTGTATAAAATGTCCCCGTTTTGTTTGCTTTTCCAAGAGGTTGCCATTATCAAGGATAGGCCTGATGAGATTTTGTATTTCTTTATTGTTACATTTATGTTGATGAAACGTTCTATGAAGAAATACAGAATAAATTAAGCTTTTGAATTGAATTGAACAGACAACTCTAATGAAGCCCTTTGTAATAACTATATAGTGTACACCATACAGATGTAAATTGTGCAGAATATCTCTTAAGATCTCATTACAATCTCAAATAATCTCTCATCAAATCTAAAGAAATAAAGATAACGTTCTTCTTGCTATCATCAGTTCGGCCAGCACAAAGGTGATGGGAAGGGCGGCGTGGTGGGAAGCCTCGCCAACATTTTCTCCATGCTAATGGCCAGGATCAAGTGAGTGCAGCTATGAACACAAACACATTCACTGACATTTAATATATTAACATAATTTATATTAACATATAATAATATATGGTTAATAACGTCTTCACCAGTGAGCACATTGAGGAAGATGTTATAATGGCTTGTCATTAAAACATTTGTTTCCGTTTATTACAGGAGGTATGGTGTTCTTGGTTTGTACAAAGGTCTGGAGGCCAAGCTGCTACAGACGGTTCTGACGGCTGCACTCATGTTTGTTATTTACGAGAAAATCACTGCTGCTACGTTCAAAGTCATGGGCATTAACAAGAGACTGAAGCAGTGAACACACTCCTTCTTGAATACAGAAATGTATTAGTGAACTTTTTATTAATTCCTACCAATTCCTTGACATACACCATAACCAGAGCTTGGTGTGATACTTATTATACTGTCTCTTTCTTAACTTTTAACTTTCCATTTATCAGGCTAGCACTTTACCTATTTCCAGTATGTGTGCTATGCTAAAGCATAAACTGCTGCAGTTAGTATAAAATGTCACAAACATGAGTGGTATCAATCTTTTCACCCTAATCTCTGCTAGACAGCAAATAAGCCTTTTCCCCAAAATATCAAACTTTCCTTTGAACTTTTAGGGCTTTCTGCAAATGATAAAAACAATATTAGCTACCTACTGTTATTACTTCACACACACTTGTCTCATGTGTTATAGAAACGTTATCAAATCCCGCCCTATGAATGTTTTTTTTAATATACTGATTTAACATGTTATCATTTCACAAATATTAGCAGTAATAACAATAACTGACAGGGAGAGACCTCCCATACATATGTAAAGACTTATGTGCACAATCTGAATGGTTTTGATATTAACAACTATAATGTGTTAATTAAATATCAATGGACTATAAATGAATACTTAAACAATACACAGTTAAACTTACATATTTATAAAAATACTCCAGTAAGTGCCTCTAAATGATATCTAAATATGCACTGTGAATGGATATAAATGCTGTGATGACTGTTGATGATTTACACAAACCCATTATGCATTAACCGTCTTCCTATTGGTCAGTATGAACATGGTCAACTCTGTCTTCCATTTTTTATCTTCGTGTCATGTTAGATGTGTGATTTTCAGTATTTGTTTATCAAAGTGTTCTTTCTCTGATTTGGTGATTCAACGTTTACGCTGCCTTTTACCTTATAACCAATGTGAAAGTTCATTCACTTTGTTGGTTTAACTTGTTGTTCAATCTGTTACCTTGAGATGTAATCATTACAAGAGCTGCAGCTCTCAATATAACTTTGCAACATTACATTAAGGAGAGGAAGTCCTTTGACTTTTCATTGAATTAAGGCTAGTTTCAAGTAGTAAGAACACTACATTTACCAGAAATGGAAATTAACCAGATATGAGTTCCTCCCAATATATATATATATATATATATATATATATATATACAAATATACAAACTCAATGACTGGTATTGTTATTTTTAAATTCACAACATGAAATGAACGAGTATTTCGAGAAAACTGCAAAATCAATGAACAGAGGGTTTGTGAAAAAGTAGAAAGTGCTGACTAAAGAGAATGTCACTGATGTAGGTGAGCAAGAAGGAAAACAAATGGCTTTATTTATAGTTAATAAAGGGTTTAAAGGTGGTTAATCCCTCACTTTAAGTAAACATTGGCCAAGGCACAATAGTAACTAGACTACACTAATCCTATTTATGACCTTCAGAACTGTTTATAATCACCGACATTTTTCCGTCTTTGTTTGTGGATGTAATACTTACTTGAATTCATCTAACCTTTTTTTTTTTAAACAGATTGTTTTATAATTTTGTTTTCCATTAAAATACTACTGTTTGGGGGGGTTTAAATTATTGTAATAACATAATAAAGTTTGAGAAAAAAATGACATCAATGCATTACTGCTGTTTTATTGAAAATCACGACATGCAAGATGAAAACACGGGTTCAGTTTGTACTGCTGAACAAATAAAAGATTTTAAAAATCACAGAGGATCATACATGTGGAAGTGATCAGTTGCACAGACAGTCAGCCCCTCTGAGACTGAAAAAAGGTATACACTCATTTGGTAAAAAAACACTCCATTGGAGGTCTGAATTAACATTCCCATGAGACATGTCTCGGTTGTAAATCAGGACTGATGCGAGGGTTGACTGCTGGTCATCTCCTCCACAAACCAGTGTGGCAGGAAGCAGTACGGCGAGTCCCTGTGGACGGAGAAGGTCACATCTCTGCGGGGCTCCCAGGACAGCAGGTACACCACACTGGAAGGGAAATAATAATGTTTCATAAATTATATTTGCTTGAATGTCAAAAAAAGTTTAGCAAAGTAGACTGTCAAGGCAATTCAGTTTACCTCGGATTGTCTTCAGTAGCGATGTGCTTTACAAAAGACAGGAAGTCAGAGCAGAAGTTCATACAGACTGTCGGCTTCCAGCAGTTTTGTTCATTCTGTCCAGAGGAACAGACAGAAAAAGTGAAAATATATTGAGTTAATCTTTAAATTATTCTTGAAGATCAAAATCTATTTGTCAATGTTTAGATAAGTCACCGTACCTTGATGAGATGGGAAATCTTAGAGATGGGAAAAGTTTCCACAGCAACGACCACGCCTTCTTCATCGCGAAAACCTGCCACAACACGGGGGACTCCGGGGAGAAAAGACTGGGCCCACCACTTCAGAAGCTTGAACCTGAGGAACACCAAAATGAAACTTTAAAACTGCCTAGTACAATCAAACTTGGATACACATTTTCATAATTTTCTGACATTTCATAGACTAGACAACCAATGGTGATAATATGTGTGAGTTGCAGCCCTAGAAGATTACCTGTGGAAGTTGCTGCGCTGTTTAGGGGTGCAGATCTCCGCAGAGGTCTTCAGTTCGATGTAGCATGCAGGAGCAGCCGGAGCATTGGGATCTTTGTCCCGACAGTCCACCTCTCCGGAGAACAGGAGTCTGTGGTCTGCGAGCCGCGTTTGCACCACAGTGCAGAAGGCCTCATTGGTGTTAAGCACCCCGCCTGGGTCAGGTCGACCGTGGACGGTATCTACATGGAAGGACAAAGGTGAAACGTTATTAGTCAAACATTTGCTTACCACCCTTTTATGTTATTTGGGTGTCAAATGTTATAAAACAAGACAAACTGGGACGCATGAAGCACGTTTGTGCCAGGAAGAAAAGCATACATGAAATTAATGATGGCAAATATAGAAAAATGCTGACTTTTTATCAAAAATGTAAAAGACTTAGCTCAAAATTATGAAAAAAGTGTTTTACTATTCGTATATTAAAATGTCTTTATTATCATTTCTGAGGTATATTTAGATTTTTTAGGTTGAATTAATAATTTAATGCAAATATTCGGAAATTCGGCTATTCAGAAATAGCTTTCATGACTACATAAATCCAAATGTTTATAGTGTGACGCTTGAAGAACATCAAATGAAAGAAATCAAAATAAACAGCATTCACTATAATAATCCAGTGTATAAACCTACATACCTGCACATGTGTATTGCTCGAACTTGTATCCCCAGTACATCATCTCTTCATGTCTCTCGGTGCGGTTCTCTTGATCCCTACGAGCAGCTTCTGTTTCCACCTCACTGATGTACAGCGTGCCCCTGAACCTGGTGACGGCCAGCTGCCAGCCCTCCCGCGTCTCATAAGGAGCCGTCAGCAGCTTGGTTAGATGACCACGCCATGTCACAAAGTCGATATCTAAATCACTGGAAAGAGCAGAGGTTGATAAAATAATAGGTGTCCGACAGAAGCGTTCTGGTCCGATGTAGTTGGATTAGAGCAATATTTCAAAAAGTTAGGGTATTGACCCAAATTGGTCCAGGGCCATTTCGTTGTTGGTTGCCAATTGAATATCAATATTATTAGATGTGAATCAATACTTCTAATTACAGTTTGTTCAGCTAAGATACTGTTTGTAAAAGCCGTTATTTTTCAATGTAATATCATGTCTGTCATTTACGAGGCATTAAAAGGGAAGAGAGGGTTTTCTGCTCTGCCTCATTTTTTTCATTTACGTTTTCTTGAATTCATGTTTGTTGGGTTCTTTGACAGTTGTTTAGGAACAGAGATGTTAAGGCCATTCATGATGTGTTTTTCAAAGTTTGGGTCCCTGGGAGACCCCACATTTATTTGTTGGGTGTTGGGCTGTACACTTGGTAATCCCTGGATCTAGCTGATCACAACCTGTTAACCTGAATAAGACAGAAAAAAAGTTACACTTACCATGATGAGGCGGTTGCCCCCCTTGCGCTGAGCTTTGATCTGTTGGCCAAGATCCAGCGTAACATGTGGTCCAGCTTCTCCTTCACACTGTCGTCTCTCTTAATAAACCGATCCTTATATCCATCCCTCAGATCCAAATTTGGACTCCTATCAGGTTCCACATAGTATCTCATTTGCCTGCCGTCATTGAAGAATCTGCGTTCAGAGTCGAGGGAAAAACATCCTACTTCGACAGGCTGTTTGTACACAGGAAAGTCTCTCTCATATAGCTCCTTTCTGGTGCTCAAACTCAGAGAGCTATGTGGGTTTTGTCCACGACTTGGCCCTGACTGATTCTGGGGGCGGTTGGGTCTGGAGTGTTTATTCTCACAGTGATTTCTTCCATTGTCCTCTCGTTCTCTTTTGTATGCTGACGGGCGGTTTTGGTGGTTAGGGTTGGGATTGTGTGATCTGTGCTGCTCCATTGCTACCTAGTGAAGAAAAGAGCAATGAAACAAACATATGGCCTTGATGATTATTCATATTTTCTTCAATGTCTTGGTCTCCTGCAGGAAAGCTGAAACATGTTATGCCTCATTATCACTTTTGTTGACACAAGAAAGTCAGTGCTAACCTATTATGCTGTTACAAAAACACTAACAGATATTTGTGAAATGTGTATATAGTAATGTGTTCATGCTATACTTTATAAAGCCAGATTTATCCATATTCCAGATATTGCTATCTGTGGTTTCTGGCCAAGGAGTTACAGAACGCTTCACAAAATACCGCAGAGCAAAAACTAAAAATCAAGAACGCAGTTTAAAGATTGGAAAAGGAAATTTTATTTTATACACCCAGTAGTGGTTGTTTTGTTATGAAAATATTGCTACATGTGATCTACAAAGGGTATCACACTGAACATTTGCACAACAATTCAGCAGATTACATCGTGATCTGTGTAAGTATGTGGATGCAGACATATTAAAAAAAGTTAAGATGCAGATGTTATAATACCATTTTCTGTAGAAAAGTACGTTTGTGTGTTTTACAAAAATCTATTGTATGTACTTTGCTTAGGCGTGTGTTGACTTGCCTTTGTAAATAAACTAGTTACTTAACTAAATGACAGGTGAATGAATGTAACCCAGCATACTCATACTCAGCATGCACAACAACAGCTAGCTTACGTTAAGATAAGGTTACGTTTCTGTTAATGCCCACTAAGTCACAATAATGCACATAACCTTGAGTGAAAACAACTATTATATTTTATAACATATGTTCCTATTAACAAAAGAGGTGAATAAAGAATACATACATTGTATTTATCTCGCTAGCTGGGTAGACAACTAGCACCATAGCACCAAAGGCTAACAACAAACTCAACGTTACTTCCTATGTAATTTCTCCTCCCATCCGCTTGGTGGTAGCGGCCAGACCTCGAATAATTAACTGTGAAAGAGAAAAACTGTTTGAGTTATACTTCATGAAATACATTAATCATTTTACAGACTACATCATGCTGAGAAATAAATCAGATTTATGTTGAATCCATCCAGCTCATAAGGGCATCGAACGAAACGGTAGGGCAAGCTCCTGTGTCATTTTTAGGTAGCCCAGTTGTGTCACATATCTTTGAGTAACAATGGAAGCAATACAACTGAAAAATTGAATCATGGCAAAAAGCAGTGGGATGAAGGGAAAAAAGGACTACATTTTAATAAAAATACAGGAAAAGTGGGAGGGTTTAAGACAATAGCAAAAAGCACGGTAGAGCAAGCAATCAAGAAAACAGCTTAAGAGACAATGTGGGGTGGGTTTTTTTTAAATCTCAAGAATGTATTAGGTGTTGAGGATGATACAGCCTTATTTAAGTATTTAGGATATACTGGATTGAGGAAGAGAATTGTGTGGTGGTTAATGCTTTCCCTTGATCTCTGGTCCACACTCCAGCACAGTAGGTGGCGGTATTGCACCTTAAACCTTAAGGGCCGCCCGCCATTAAACAAGAAGAAGAGGAATAACTGTTAGAGTTGTTGGTTGGAGCTGTTGTTTCGAATGGGACAGAAGCGATATGAATACTGATATAAATAATATAAGTAGCTATCAGGTGAGAGCTTTAACTACCTTGACTGGTCAAATAATGGATTATGAGCTCCGTGTGAGCTGGATTAGCTAGCTTCATCGGCTTGGTTTACAAGAGAGCAAAAACAAGTAACTGAACCGGTGGGTCGTGTCTCATTGAATGTAAAAAAACCAAGCAAAAAAAGTCTTGCGTTTTTTCTCAGATCTGTAATTTGGGTAAAACCCTAACGCTTGAAGTTGGTATTTTCATAGGGAGAGCTGAGAGTTAATGGCCTGGAGAAATTAGCCAGCTAACTTAAGCTGATTTGACTCGTTTTCGTCCTGATTTTTTATTTTTGAGAAGAACTACATGGTCTTTATACGTTTAAGTTTAAGCCTTTGTGAAGGCCCAGATAACATCACATTGGGTTTGTGGTTTCTAGTTGTGTTATTGTGAGAGATCAGCTGTCTGGGCATTATGGGCAAATAGATTAATTCTGCAAGTGATGATATCTCTACCACAATTTCTCCTCCAGATATGAACAGGAAACGGGCTTTAATTTCAGACGCTTTCAAAGTGAAGAGATTTAGAAATGAAACTCAGAAGTTTGGGGCCGTCAGTAAAGGAGATGGTATGTGTTATTGCTAAACATATATTATACAACTCTGCTGTAATCTCTATATAGCATGTTACGTTATTTTTCCATTTGTTGCTTGCTTCATCCCTCAAAGGGCCGACTGACATCAGATCCACCCTTGAGACCCTGATGACACTATTCCCCAGGAAGCTCTTCAACGACTCATTGCCTCAAATTGTTATGAAGCACCAACTCTACAGCATTCATAATGACAAGACTTTGGTGGACAAGGAGCTGGTAAGATAACTCTTTAGTGTCAGAAAGGTCATATGTGTAACCATCTAAATGTGAAAATACAACCCTTTGGTTTGGTCCTTTTGGTGCACAGAATAAACTCCGGGAACAAGGAGAACTGCTGATGTTCCAGCTCGGGTTTGACGCAGATGCATTCGGACTGGTTTTTGCTTCCGATTACAAAGCCAAAGTGCTGGCAGGAGAGGATGGCAGGGCGACAAGAGCAACCGTTGAGAAGTTTTTGGAGAAGTTGCCATCTCTTTGCACAGAGCTGAGCTTCAGCAAAGACAAGATGCTCAAGGAGTTCCGCTTCACAGACTCTGAGATAACGTATGAAACTCTCCCATGTAACTTGTGTATTTTAATTATTATAGTTTTATTCTCCCAAAATGAAAAACTGCCTCTGAAACCCTCTCTTTAAAGATGAGTACATACTTTATTTTCTTACCCTCTAGTCAGCTGGTGAAGTCAGGGGTCCTGACTGTGAGGGACGCAGGCAGCTGGTGGCTTTCCATTCCCAACTCAGGCAAATTCACCAAGTACTTTATCCAAGGTGAGAGTTGAGAAAAAAAGTCTCTCTCCTATATTTTACTTTACATGTGGAATACTAGTTCTGACCGTTTTTTTACAGTGCTTTGTTGATTTAAAGGTGGGGTATGTAATTTATTTCAGAAACACTTTTTGTTATATTCCATGGAATGCTCTTAACATCCCGATAGCAATGAATATATTAAATGCTTTGAGTCACAATAAAATGTATTTTCAAATTCTAGCGCACTCGAGCTGGTTTCTCAAATTACCTACCCCACCTTTAAGAACGGTTTGTTTTCTAACTATCTCACCACTCTCCCTGTTAGGTCGTAAAGCAGTGCTCAACATGGTGAAGAAGTCCAAATATAGTGAAGTCTTGAAGACAGAGCTAGAGGAGCGGAGAACTACCTCGCATGTGAAATTCCAGATGAAATATCACATCCATGACATTGTTGGTGCAGAGCTAGTGGAGAGGTAACATTTGCTTGTTTTAAAATTGCATGCTAGAGAAGTGTTACAGTAGATAGTTGACCCATCTGTCAAATGAAAAGAGCCCGCACTTCATGCAGCTGCTCTCTAATTTACGGTCCTCTCAGTTCAGTAATTGAGGGTTTTTGTTACTTGCACCAACAGCCCTCAGGCTAGAGGCTGGCTCTCGGGTGTTAAAATATGTGCTCGTCAAAACCTTCAAAATCCAGCCAGTTTGATCCCTGTAAACAAAAAATGATTTAAAAACACACAGCTATGATTGCTTGAAATCTCAATGCCATTCCTGTTTTGTAACTTTTATCTAAAAAGACTGACCAATTTCTCTTATTACTATTTTCGGGCTATTATTCTATCCTACACTGTTTACTAAATATACTGAATAACGTCTTTGTTTTATTCCCAGCATACCTACAACTTCAGGGACATTGTTGCGATTTGTTGATTCCTGAACGGCAGCAGCAGAGCTTTAATTGGTGCCAATGGTTGACTGAAGATCAGAAGATTTACAAAGATTGTAACATAAAAACGTTTGTACTTGGGCTGTTAGCAAATGTATTTAAGATTGCAGAGATTAAGTCTGTGCCAAGTGCCTTATTAAAACCTTGTGGGTTGATGAATTGTCAATTATGTTGATATGACCTTGTGAGGTTTGGATTTATCTTGAAATAAAAGTGATTTTCTTTCCTTCATGTGAGTTAATACCTTTGTTCACAGAATATCAGCACTTTTATACAACTGTCCCTATTACCATGTTTAATTATGTAAAGCTGTCATATGTTAATTAAACTACATCACTATGGTTGTAGTTGGTGGTCGAGCTGCATTGTATTACAATTATACGGTTATAATATTCTTCTACCCAGATTTGTAAATAGTATGGCCAAAACATTAAACACCTCAATATAATGTAGTCCAGTTTTACAACCCTTCAAACATACAATACATATTTATTTGTAAAGGTTGAATTAATGTTCTAATTGTATGTATTTTGCCTTTAAATTCATGGATATATTGGTGAAAATTCTCTTAAGTAACATTCCATTAAATGTGACAAGTTGTCACTGATGTAACGGATATGACTGACAAGACAAGCTTTTATAAGACATTTTTTAAAACCAAATAGCTAAAAATAAGTCTGAGAAGTCACGTGAAGAATTTCTGCAAAAGATTATAATGTGATATTTTCCTGTTAACCCTTTGCATTTTCATTTCCCAGTATAGTCCAAGCGAAGGTATTCACTCTACTACTCATTAAGTCAAGTCAGTGTTTTCTATTTTGTCTGAATGCCAAGTGTCGCACTAAGGAGAATCTGTGGTTGCACTGTCCAACAAAGAAGCAGAATAGTCGGTTTTACTTGAATTTATTGGCTTTTTCAAAAAGTGACAATAGCTTTTATCCATAAAACTAAAGAGTCACAACATTGGCTTGAATTATACCACAGCTTGATATCTGAATACAATACAGATGAGCAACATGTACTTAACCCCTGATCTAGTAGTTCAAATACATTTTGTAAATAAGCAAAAAATATAACTTGCAATTCTAATCTTTTTTTTCAGTATATGTTGCACATACAAGCTATCAGCATTAATTACAAAAGCTAGGCTTGTAGGGAGATTAAGGTAGCGTTAACTGTAGAGGTAATAAACAAAAGGATATTCATAGTGTTAGTTTAACAATACAGTGAGTGAAGTGTAACTTTTGTGAAGAAAGATACATAACAATCAAATCACATGATTATAACCAAAAAAAGAGTACATGGTTTACTACACCATAACTGACAGTAGCATTGTTACTGTTATCAGCAGGCATTCATGCTCTTTTAGTGACATTGCTTAGCCAGTAGTGATGCTGTTAGAATCAAATAGGCTGCACAAAGGGTTTTTGATAAATGCCCACTGAGCATTAAAAGGTGCTCTTGTTCCCCGCCACCAAAACAGTTTTGATCCAATATCTAATAAAGTGTTCAGCCTTGCACTCCTGGGCAGCGACACGGTTGAAACACACTTCTAGGGCATATTGCAAAGAAAGGAAAAGAATACCATAAACTTGAATGGAGCCAAACACGTAAAATACTGGAGCATTTCAATTTGTCAGGGTTTAATAGCACAGTTGGTGTCAGAAGATTTGTTCCCAATTTATAGAACGTCATTCAATTCACACAAATTAATAAACATGAATCATGTGCTAGGACTGAACACTAGCTAACTTGTACAGAGATGCGTGCGGTATTAATTTGAAGCAGAAGAACTTCACAGGTGGTTACTTCAAGTTCCTTGTCGACAGTGCGATGACGTGTGACCATCTTTGCAAAGTGAAAATGAATAAAACCGCCCATGACTAGAGCTCAACAAAGAGCAGCACTCAACAGGAATCTGTCATTATGAAGGTTTAAAATGTTTGAGACAATAGGACAACGGTTTTATTTTCTGTTAAAATACAGCACATCTACGGAGTGTATTTGGCAATATTTATTCCACTCAAAACAAACAACCCAGACTGTAAACAAAAAAAATGTGGACAACAAGTGGAAGAACAAATTGAAAACATTCCACGGTCCATTTTTTACAAAACATCCAATCCATTTTAGAAGGCCTCGAGAAATGTCATAGTCTTGTCTATACAGTATGCGTGGTTGGGAAAGAGCTAGGGTCTATAATGATCTAACCCGTCTCCTAAATCTGACAACTTTGTCATGGAAACGGTTGGTAGAACTGCTGAAGCTACACTTATGGAAGGAAAGAATTTGAAGTACATTGTTTTGATGTGTATACTGTGTCTTTTGCCAGCCCTCACCACTAGCGGCCATGTTCCCCTGTAACCGTTCCAGTGGAGGAAGTCTTAGAGGAGAGAGCACTTCCTGCCCTTCTTCTTGACGGGGGGAGGGCAGAGGACGGCCCGGATGGCCTCGTCGAACACAGTTTTAAGGCCACGCTGAGTCAGGGCTGAGCACTCCAGGTACTTGACAGAGCCTGAGAAAAGCACACATCAAATATTTGTCTCTATAAATATAATCAAAAAAGTGTTTACAGAAAACCATGGCTGTCCTTGACAATGTAAAGAGAAATGTTAAGTATTTCAGCGTGAGACAAAGGCTTTGAAATTTGACTACAACCACCAATTAGACTAATCGAGGGAGAAGGGGTACGTCTTACAGAAAGCCAGTAAAGTTTAAATGTGTTGTTACCGATCTCTTTGGCCATCGCCAGTCCTTGGGGATATGTAATTGGAGCGAGTTTCTTCTCCTTCAGCTTCTCTATGGTGTCCTTATCATCTCTCAGATCCAGCTTGGTCCCCACCAGGATGATGGGAGTGTTGGGACAATGGTGTCTCACCTCGGGGTACCACTGCACAGAGACACAACATTTGGAGGTTAGGGGACCGCTCGGTCTTATCGTAAACATACAATGGCTAAGGAACCAAAAAGGCTAACCTGTTGATTATAATGGAGACATTACTGAATACTACAAGGACATTCTCAATCAAAATCTCAAAGTGTGGAGAATATTATACATTGTTAGCGTTTGCATGTGAAAGTCCAGATCACATTTTGGAAATAAAAAGATGGAGGCCCCTTGCCCTGCTTTTTATCATAAAATCCATTCCTATAATTAACAATACACATCAAAATTGTTAAAACTATTGTTGTTGACATGACTAGAGACAATAAATCTAGATAAGCACACCGAAAAATTAAGCTTAAAGAAAAGGGATCAGCGCTGGTGAGCTAAGTCTGACCGAAATGTTGTATTTATGATTTATTAGGAGCTAATTGGAAGAAATTGCACTTAATACTGAGCGTAATAGGAGTTAATGTACATAGGGTTGCTGCCCCTTAAGTGCAGTGATGGACTAACATGCTTTAACCCAGGAAGTCCACTGAGTGCTCTTAGGGTGATCAACAAATATCCTTACATTATATATATATCCATCTTATCACCACAGTCATTAACTCCACTCTGTCCACTGGACTCGTCTCCACTGGACTCGTCCCCCCTGATCTGAAACTCGCTGCTGTCACTCCCATACTCAAAAAACCTGGTCTCAACCCTGATTCCCTCAATAACTACCGGCCCATCTCTAACCTCCCATTCCTGTCAAATTCTGGAGCGAACTGTGGACTCCCAACTAAAATCCCATCTGGACTGCAATAACCTTCATGAACCTTTTCAATCTGGTTTCCCTACTCGCCACAGCACAGAATCTGCCCTACTCAAGGTGACCAACGACATTCTCCTCTCTGCTGTCTCTGGTTCCCTCTCAATTCTCATTGACCTAATTTGACACGATCAACCATTCCATCCTAATCAACCGCCTCCAGTTTTCCATTGGCATTACTGGTACCGACCTCTCCTGGTTTAAATCCTATCTCTCTGACAGACATCAATTCATCTCCATTAACAACTCCAAATCCCCCGTCAATCATGGCATCCCTCAGGGTTCTGTACTTGGTCCCCTTCTGTTCATCATACATCCTCCCAATTGGACAAATCCTCCGTCAACACCAACTCCACTGTTATGCTGATGACACGCAGCTCTACCTCTCAACAAAATCAATTTCTCCAACCACACACTCCCAGCTCAGCACCTGCCTCACTGACATTAAAATTTGGATGCAAAACAATTTTCTAAAACTTAACTGACAAATCGGAACTTATAATCATTGGCCCAAACTCACTTACCCGCTCAACCCAAGATTTTTCTCTTACCATCGATGGCTCCATTGTCAACCCCTCCACTCACATCCGTAACATCATCCTCAACCCCACCCTCAGGTCAACCAGGTCACAAAAAACGCATTCTTCCATTTAAAGAACATCGCCCGCATTAGACCCTCCCTCTCATCGACCGCTGCTGAAACTCTGATCCATGCCTTTATAACATCCAGACTGGATTACTACAACAGCATACTTTTTGGATCACCTGCATTCACAATAAAAAAAACTTCAATATGTCCAAAACTCAGCTGCCCGCTTGCTCACCTCCACCCGACCACATCACCCCTATCCTCCATGACCTCCACTGGCTCCCCATCAAACACCGCATTGACTTTAAAAATACTTTTCACTTTCAAAGCCCTCAACAACCTTGCCCCCCCCCCCTACCTCTGTGACCTCATCCAACGACACAACCCCACCCGTCGCCTCAGGTCTGCTGAAGCTAACCTACTGCAGCCCATCAGGACAAAGCTCCGGACCTGGGGTGACAGGGCCTTCGCAGCAGCCTCCCCCACACTCTGGAACTCCCTCCCCAGCCAAGTCAGATCCGCCAACACTCTCACATCATTCAAACAATCCCTCAAAACTCACCTTTTCACTCTTGCCTTCAACTCCTAATCAACTAACCCCTTGCCCTTATTCCTCCTAGCTTAGCACTTTCTACTTGTGTTGTTATTTTGTTTTACTTGCTTGTAAGCGCTTTGAGCACCAGGAAAAGCGCTTTATAAATGTAATGTATTATTATCCTTTGTTGGAAAATGTCTTGTGTAAATTGGAAACACTACTACTACCCTACTTTGATATATTTAGCTCTAACTACAGCGTAACACAAAAACCCCAGGGTTAAACCAAACATTTTTACAATGGTATCTTAGCTCCGTCAATAATTCTATTGAATAGCCAATCCACTTAACTAATTAGTAACATGTCAGTTTGTGCTTTTATTAAACAATGTGTTATTAACTTATTGCTTTTGTTCATACGGTTTTAAAGAATGAGACATGAGGAAACACATGGGTCAGAAATAATCATTACAAATCTATGAGTTATTCGTGAACAAAAAATGAAGGCCAGTCAAAGTCAACCTTGATGCTCCTCGTCATGCCATGTCATAAAAACGGATCCGCTGAGACGACTTTACAGCCTTCACTCTATTACAGGGGCACTGCGTGAACTCACCTTGGCACGGACGTTTTCGAATGAGGCAGGACTCACAAGCGAAAAGCAGATTAGAAACACGTCCTGGTGGGAAAAATAAAAAATGTCAATGAAAGCCAATAACAATCATCTCCCGTAAGGAACAGGACAAATTAAACCCTCCTTAAACACTCAAAGGTGTGGGGGTTTTCCTTTCCTTTCCAAATACATTATGTAACAGTGCCTACTATTTAAAAACAAACTTCAAGGCAAACACTACACAAGAAAGGAGGTCACAATAAGTGACATATAATACATCATTGTCTGCTTGTTTGTTATACCGTCTGTGGGTAGGAAAGTGGGCGGAGTCTGTCGTAATCTTCTTGTCCTGCTGTATCCCAAAGGCCCAGGTTCACCGGCTTCCCATCTACCATAACATTGGCAGAGTAGTTGTCGAACCTGACAGAAATAATTATGTTAGAATGATTCATATAAACCTAAAAACACATTAATATGGAGACATTGTGACAGGAAATAGAAACAAAACAGGCTCTTAATTATCTGTTGTAACCTTTAGCTTCTTCTACTTTCCATTAAAAATGACTCATGTCTTATTTTTAGTCTGCTGATGCTATACTCTTGTTTAACAACTGTCTGCTTAGCCAGTATATGCCATAATGACTGATAGTGATGCAGTTTCCTCAAAACTTCCCGGAATATTTTTTTCCCCTGAATCATTTGTTTATAAACCCCACCCCAGCGCGTGCACTACGCTCTGCATCAGCCAAACGACTCGCTGCACCCTCGCTGCGAGGGGGACCCAAGTTCCCATCAGCAAAAACACGTGGGTTTGCTGTCCTGGCTCCAAGATGGTGGAATGAGCTCCCCATTGACATCAGGACAGCAGATAGCTTACACATCTTCCGGCGCAAACTGAAAACTCATCTCTTTCGACTCCACTTCGAGCGATAGATTTATTAACAAAGCACTTTTATACTAATAAAGGACTGGCTTACCTAAAGCCAGTTGAGTAGCACTTGAAATGTTTGGCTCTATGAAACCTGATGTACTTATATGATTCTGTTTTCTTCAAGGTTGTGTCTTCCTGGTCGAATGTGCTTATTGTAAGTCGCTTTGAATAAAAGCGTCAGCTAAATGCAATGTAATAAACTATCTGCAGTCCACAGCATGACAATCAACATTTAGTCTTACATAATTAATAAGATCTACAGTTTTAGATACTCACACTGTGGGGATGTACTCTCCTGGGAAGGCATTGGTGGTGTAGCTGATGAGCAAGCAGGTCTTACCCACAGCTCTGGAGGGGAGAAAAGGTGGATTCACTTTCAGTTTATGATGAAAAAGCAACTCTGGTTCTGAATTGAAATGGCTTCCTATTTAGTACAGCTGAAGAGCAGTTGTGTTGCCATTATTTATTGATCAATAATTTTTCTAAAAACTGTATTTGGAGGAACAAAATGTCATACAATACTGATACATGTCTGTCATACAGTTAATTATATTCCAAAGTTGTGTTTTTCCAACATATGGTCCACAACCCATAGATATTTTACATTTAACAACCACACTAAACAAATGTAAACATTTGAGATGCTATAACTTGTAACTGGCATTTTTGCTTATAAAAATGCTTTTAATTTCTGTGGTTTTGTCAAGTCAAAAACAGATACGGGTTGAGTCCCACACTTTGGGAGAAAATGCGTACATAGTGTGAACTTGATTTGTTGTCAAGCTATGCATACAAGAACACTAGATTAAGTACATTTGCCGGCATGAAACTTAAATGATGTAGCCTTTAGTATGAACACTAGTGCAAGCTTCCTCTTGGTCAAAATCGAAAATAATAAATCAAACGCAGTCAAAGGTCCACAAATGACTCCGCTGCTGTGGTATTCACCACACCCTGAAACAGCAGTTATGAGTATGTTTACCTCCCACATGATGTTACCCATATGAATCTCAGTCACAGCTCATTCTGTAATCATTGACTAATCTCTAGCTGTTGCAATCTAACCTTAAAAAGTATTGTATTGTTTTTTAATAAGTGTTGAAATAAATAAGAAATAAGTTAAAACGCTTCTTGTTTAACGTCACAGTGATAACACAACAACTAACACACAAACATGGTGCTTTACTCTTCAAATGTCTCATTTGATAAGTCAATGTTGCCCAACTTAAAGTGTGGTTAGGAGGATATCTGCCTTGTGATTTCTGACTCACCCGTGAGGGAGGAAACACTGCAACTAAATCACTTAAATCTTAAGATTAGCCAACCACTTGCATACTAGTTTTTTGTAATACATTTGTTTGTCACATCAACATAATTACATATATTAAACCTGAATAAGTTAAATTGGCTAAAGATACAAGTTAGCTGCCCATAGAGCATAAACCAGTAATTAAAGTTAAAGCTTGTTAGCTAACTTTACCCGTTTGGAATAACGGAAGCAAAGTGCTTTAACGCTAGCTGGTCTGCTGACAGCCTTTTAAGCTAATGTTACACTTTGTTATTAAAGTTAAATATTAGTCGGGAAGCACAAACTAAAAGTAAGCTCGATTACGTTATGACTTACCCATCTCCGACAACGACACACTTTATGGCCTGCATTGCGCCGCAACTAGAGGAATGCTAAGTTAGCCCGCAGCTAACGTTAGCTCACAAGTCTCTTTCCTTTGTCCGGGATTGCTCGCCGGAGAAACGTCCAAACAGCGCTTTGCTACCGGCCTTCGGTGGTACAGCGGAGCTCCTGCGGTGTGAAAGAGCTTGTGAGGAAGTTAGAGTAACTTATCTAGCACTTTAACACAAGTTCACTCAGAAATCCCCTTGCAACATTCCCATGCTTTCGTGGTCTGATCGGACGCTATGAAGCAAAACAGCGGCCACCACCCCTCAGAGAAAAAAAAAGAAGCTAGCCACCACCAGATGGTGCATCCGGTGAAGTGCTGGGATGAAACGCCCACAGCAAGTTTAACGATGGGAAACGCCTTCGGAACAATCAGCTGGTAACCCACTGCGTTTTATGAAGTCAGGGAATGTAATGTAACCAGAACAAGTCTGTCTGTTGGTAAGCCATTTTAATTACATTTGTACATGGCCACTTAATAAGATAAGAGAAAATAACAAATAAGACGGAACATGCAGAGTGTGACACCGATTGCGGAAATTGCGTTCTTTCATGGGGATGTCCGCCCTGAACTCTGCCTTCCAGGTGTTTCAGAGACATTCCGCTTTTAAATAATATAGGACGTTTATCTTTGTTTTAGTTAACATATTTACTTCCCTTCTAGTTAATTAACACATGTGAATTAAGTTAGCTCTAGATTCATATCTGTGTAGATTTTAATATTTGTGTCCATACATATATCAAATCCATATGTGTACAACATTGATGATCCATGATTATATTGAAATAAAAGTATTGTACAATGTAATAAACAAGTTCATGAGTCACAGATATATGTTTTCTATGCCATAAATAAATCCTGCCTGGCATCACTTATGCATATAAAAGTCTGAGGGGCGCAGGAACAAAAACCTATTGTCACTGTAACACTTTAACATGATGTTGAACTTCAGGATAAAAAAAAAAAATCGTTGCAGTCCTAAAACGGATGGATTTGTCTTAAATAAGAGTATTTGTTTATTATGTCCACATCCCTTAGAACCAAGTGAATATGGAAATGAATGCCAAAAACCATTTGAATATGGCACCATAATTCAATATTTCACTATAATGTTTTTTTGTTGTTGGTATAATTATCAATTAAAACTACTTGTTTGTTTGTTGGAATATATGTTTTAAAAAAGTTATTCTTCTGACAATTTAAACAAACTATTAATAATCAGCCTGAGTGTCTAAAGTCAGGGCAAAAAGTAAACATTACACTTTCATCTTCCTTGTGTCACATCGATATGAGTCCTCCCGTCGAATGGTCGGTAGAGACGCTGTTGGGGTGGAGTAGCTCTGCCAACACAACCAGCACAATAAAAATGGAGCTCGGTGCCTGTAAGGGATAAAAATATGAGCTGTCACTCAACAGTCAGCACTTTACTCGTCGGTTAGCCTCACTAACTGATACAGTAACCGTAGTAATTAACCGCCCGGGCTGACTTCGCCTGTATGGCGGGTCTGTCTTATTTAGTGCTCCGGTTTTCGGGCTCCGCTGGTCGGACTTACGGAGTGTTTTCCAAAGGCTTGACTAGGACTTTGTTGATATTTTTTGATCTCGCATGGCGATTGCGAATCAGATTCCCTTATATCTACCTGGTCGCTTCGATGATGTTTAATGTCAGATTACAGGTAATTATGCAAACACTCTTCCGTTAAAGTGTCTGAAGTCATGACAATACGTGTATTTCCTGTCTGGTCGTTTTGGTGTTGTTTAAATGTGTTCTTCAAGATAGATGGTAGATTAATTGTACCTCCATTTAAAACCGGCTTCAATTTATTGCATAGTACACCAGTTCTGCAATACACCCCCACTTCATAAAGATCACTATCAGTGCACTCTTTTGGTTGACATCGTTGTAAATCGGCGTTGTTTAAATGTTATGGTCAATTTGGTTTCTGCAGTGTATGGTACTGACTCCTGTTGAGTTATAGTAAGGCGTTTCTAATATGTTGTCATCCCCACTCACATCAATTAGGTTAGACTTTATTTTTGATATTATTTATTATTATTATTATTTTTATTATTACATGGACTTTTGCAGTAGATTTTGATATCAATAAAGTTTCCCCTACATGTTTTTTAGAATAATATGCATTTTTTAAATTGAAATTAAGATACTTGATGGAGATATTTTAAAGTTGAAAAATCATATGTCAGTGCTTTCTGGTGGGCAGTTTCTAAATTATCTTTAATAAAAATAACATAAATGTATTTGAAAATGTGCAGAAAACGATGTAACTAAGTTGATATATTAGATATACTGTACCATCCATCACAAGTGTCTATTTATTATTATATTAAAAAAATCACATTTAAGGCACTACAACCAGGATTCAAATGAATATTTATCAGATATTCTAATAATACAACAACTAAAACAGTTAAATTAAAGTTAGAATACTTTAAAATATTATATTTAACTAACTGTTACTGACATTTTAATTGCTGTCAATAATTACACTTACAATTCTTTCATCTATTGTTTACAACCACAAATTGCCTTCCAAATTAATCTAATGCCTAATAAACTGGCAGCTAAGCATGTGATGCTGATCTTAAAGTCGATTACAAAAGTGTGTTAACATATTTGTTTAAATAGATGAGTGTGTTATCCATTCATTTTATATGTTGACTTACAGCCTCCTCATCTCTTGACAGGTGCACATTGAAATTCACTGAATCTTCAACCCTATATTTGGAATGAAATCGATGGATCGTGGCCAATGCCGTGCTGTAGCCCTCTTAAAGGAACTGTGTGGCACTATACAGCAATTTGAAGGAAAGTGGACACTTAATTCTGTGTGACGATGCATCAAAGTGACACACACAGCTGGTCGTCACGGTCAGCCCTCGCCACACAAGCCCAGTGCCTTTGCAGAAGAAGGACAGCAGGAAAGTCAGCAAAAAAGAGCCAGGATGAACGGTGATGAGTGAGGGTGGAGGCTGGAGGGGGAAACAATTCCTCACGTTAACCCTTTTAACTCGCCACCTGACAACCAGGAGCCGCCTGCCTGTCTGAGGAGATAACGTCAGATGACTGGTGGATTTTGACACTTCCTTTTATCTCTGGATATCGAGGACTTTGGCCTGGAATAAAAAATGAATGATTGTTACTCTGGTACTTTTTAGCTTCTCTTCATTGTCTGACATAACAACTGATCAGTGCTCAGTGTCAACATCTCACATTAATTAAAAAAGTAAATATCTGCACCGCATGACACAAACAAGCATGCTGTGGCTCGGGGTGCTTTATTTGGGGTTGGCTGTATAAGCGGTACATCTTTGTTGTAGCAGAACAGTACAGCTGCCTCTACTGGAAACGTTATAAAGTGCAGTGTCAAAGGGAATCACTGCATGGTTCTTTCTGTTTGCACACACGTCGTCTCACTCATTGTTATTTCTGCATATCAGTGGCAGTGGAAAGGTGGCGTGGTGAAAATGTTACCTTTAAATTAAAACTTTTTTTTAGCTGCTTTTGTTTTTATTTCTGTGAAAATGTGGGCGTCTGGTTGGAATTCACATAATTGAGGCTAAGGATGATTGAATTTGGAAAGTAATAAATTAATGAAATCACAATTTTCAGCCTTTTTCTGATTTTCTTTTTTAGGTTTGCAAAACTGCCTTTTTAAAACACAGCTAGTCCATCCCAAGACTTTTACACTTTTTAATGTTGTATTGGAGTTTCTTAGCTGTCAAAGAATACACCAAAGTGCTCCTCTTTAAAAAACAACACAAATCAACATTTATACATGCATTCCTGTTAATGCATGTCTTGAGACAACATACATAGCAAAATATGACACCTTCAAACCCTTCATGTTCTTGTATCACCTGTTACATAATACAATATAGACAGAGTTTGTATTGTAATGTAAAAAGGGGAAACGTCAAACATTGTCCCCACTTCACACCCAGAGAAACAAAGAGAATATAATAATAATAATAATTAAAAAAACGTTTGGTTCTTGATACCATTTCACTTCATGCATGAGACATTTCCCAACATCACCATGGATGTTTAAATTGTGTTTTTTTTTCTATAAACCCTTGTACTTATATTTTCAACAAGACAAGACAAAAGTGTCAAATCTTTTCAAAACGTTTAAAGGTCCCATGTCTTGGCCATTTCTACTGATCATAATTCCATTGTTGAGGTCCACTAGAATAGATTTACATTGTTCAATGTTCCAAAATCACATTGGTTTCTCATACAGCATCTCTGTAAAGTATGTGTATTCACTCTGTCCTACACGCCTTGTTGGTGCTCCTGCCCCCCCCCCCCTTATGAGCCCACTCTGTTCTGATTAGTCAACTAACGTTACAGCTGAACATCAGTGTTTAGGTGTTACAATGGCGTTTGTTAGCAACCAGAAAATGACACCAGTAATGACAAACAGATGAGAATGCTGTGTGGGGTCTGGGTGCCGTGTTGGCGGGACGTTGCGGGGCTCGCTGTTCCACCCTTTGAGGCTCGCGGAGCGGACAGTGTGAGCTGGCTTGCTGGTGTCGTTTCCTGGTTGCTGCGTGGGGTCTGAGTTCCGCTGAGCTCAGGCTGAGTGAGTGTGTGCGGATTGGTCCATTTGGACCAATCGGTCCATTTGGACTGAGTGACGTCAATAGGCCCCGGGAAGAAAACAATGTACAACGAGGCGTTCTGGGGCAGCATGGACACGTCTTTTCTGTGTTAGAGTTTTACTCGCTACAGGGTGTACTCTTTGAGGGTTTGTGACTTTGCAGACCGTTTACATGCAGAAAAAGCTACATAACACACAAGGGGACGTGTAATAACCGGAAAAGCGTATGATGGGACCTTTAACAATGCAGCCCTTTTATGATGAAAAACTTTTTTTTACATTAAAACAAATATCAGAAATGCACAAGTTATCATCCAGTTAATTGAAGAACGTTCTCCTTTTAAATATAAACACTATGGTGTTAACACAAGCTCTCCTCCATTCTTCTGTGGACATTTCCCCTCAAAACTATCCAAGTTTCAATTTAGGCTCTCAGTCTCCACCCCTTTACCTTTTTCTATTATTGTCAGCCCCCTTGACATACAGTATATAACTATGACATTTCAATAATAAATCCATCTAGCATGAACTATTGCAGCACCATCTCTGTCCACAGGGGGGAGGCAGCCTTCCACAGCACTGCACCTCCCTCCTTGTGCATGAAAACAGACATCACAAGCTGTAACATCTGTAAAGAGGATGCACTGGCTGATACAGGAGCGATTACACAGACACCAAAGCTGTTGATTAACAAGAACTTTATCTGTCTATTGGTTTTACTCTAACACACTTTTTAAAAATAAATGTCAGCCATAACTCTACTGCTGGAAAGGAAAAGTGAACTCAGCTTACACTCAGGAGTATTTGCTTCTTCTCTCTTTGATCTACATCAATTAAAAGACCCTCTGTGATCCATCTTTAAAGAAACACTGAGCATTTGAGCCTTAGCCAGCAGACCCATTTGGCATCTTTCTTGAAGGTGCACTTGTTTTAAGTAGATGTTTTAAACTGCTGACACCCTCACATGGGCAGCAAACTTCTCCTCGCCAGTCGCTCTGATGCCAGGCTGCAGAGTAAATTCATCTGGCGTTTCCAAGGCAACTGTATTCCTCCATGTGACACACAAACCCACCCCCTTTCTCTTGAAAAAAAGAGGATTTATTTCTCAGGGATTTGCCAGAGGAAAATATGTTAATAGGGTTATCATAGAGCAGGGGGGGGGGTCTATAGATGGAGGATAAGTCGGGTTATCTTTACTCTGTTTTTGCCAACCACCATTTGTACCCTCAGAAAAAGGGTTTGTGGAATAAAGATTTGGCATCTGCAGCAGCTCACATGTGTTTTATTTGAGTGAGTGTGAAAGAGTGATAACACTGAAAATGGAAATGGCAGCAGGGATTCAAATCAAAGCTGCAATGCAGTATATTTAATTCCATACACATCATTCATAAACCTTAAACAATTTATTTGTGTGGGATCTTGAGACTTTGTGAGATTTTAAATGTTCTACTTCATCATTTTAAAACCAGTTTTTCAGAGTAAATGTATCAATTTAGTTTTGTTCCTTATACCTTAAAGAACTAGTTTGACATATTTTTGAAAATATCCTTTTCCGCTTATCTTGCAGAGAGTTAAAATATATGATATCTTCTTATCATTCAATTCTTAACCAGATCAGGTCAAACTATTCCTTTAAAATATACAACTACCTTGGGAACAGAAAGTATATCCCTTAGTTTCTGGGTCTCCATACCAGGTGAAACTAACACTGAAACATTGTGGAAGACCTAGACACTTCTTTAATTAAACATTTCACACAAACATGTCCTTTGATCAACAAATCCACCCTATCATTTATTAATAAAAACATTGTTTTTTGTATTGTCCCTATAAAGTTTAACCACCACAATGACATCCCCCTTGCCACATGTTGTCACATCTAGATCACGGCTCTGTTACACTTCATTTTGAAAAGTCTTTGTCTGCCATCGATGTTGTGCTTTGAACACAAACAGGAAGCAATGCCTTGTTTTTATTATTTATTTATTATTACAGTTGGAGGAACTTACTGTCGATACCCAAATGAGGAAAAGACGATTAAACTCCACATGTTTCTAAAGTGACTCATGTCAAATAATTTTTTTCCTCCGTTGTTAACAAACAACTTTTATATTGTGACATGATGTCCATCAGCACTTCATGAACCATTTTAATTTACACCCATTAATACATCACATCCATGCATAGTGAATGGATTACAGATGCTAAATGTAATCAAACATTAATCCTGATGCTTTTAGTCTTTTACACTGTGATGTATGCTGATCCCTTTCACCCTCAGTTTGAGAATCTGGCATTTATGTGAGTATCCACCTCTGTGTGGTTTAATTAAATAGACCTGAGTTACCCCTCAGTTTGAATGCTGTTGACCGGGGGACGACAGGCATATGCCAAGCGTTAAACAGGATGAGATCAGGTGCGGAGATGAGCTCCATGCTGACCTTAAAACTGAATCAAAGGAGTGAGTGAGGGATGGGGGAGGAGAAGAGGAAAGGAGGAGGCAAAGAAGGGAGCATTGAAGGGGGGATGTGGGCTTTAATCATATTGTGGGATTAAAATAGGCCATAAACTAAAAGAGCATTAATATGAGGAAGTGTAAGTTTGATATTTTTATATTGTCATTTATATTCATTTGTTGGACACATTCAGTTTTATATTGAACAAAGCATTAAGAAGTATTTGAAATGATTGTTTGCTTTGCATTATGCCTTGTAATAATTTCAAGCATTGTGTTCTCACAAAAACAGCAAATTGACTTGACCTAATTTTCATTCTTGCACCATCAATATACCACATAGAATGATATGTTAACATGCTTGGGTTACTGATGAGCTATGGTATAGTTTGTGCTTTTTCACCTCACTTTGGAGTGTAGGCATGCAAACCCTTGTATTGAGCTCAGTAGTGAAACTTCTACGAGGAATAACCTTTGCAGCTTGTTATATAACCACAGCAGGTCTTGGAGGATTGTATTTTTAATGTGGACACACACACGCACACACACACACACACACACACACACACACACACACACACACACACACACACACACACACACACACGCACACGCGCACACGCACACACACACACACACACACACACACACACACACACACACACACACACATTCTCTCACACACAGCTTCACCTACAAGTTCTCGGGCACACACTGCTGCCTTTGTGCCCGTCAGACAGACTCCAAATAAAGACTCTACTCATATGCGTCCTTGGGTGCAGAAAATGAACTCAACTTTGCCCTTCGATCAGATGGCGGTCGCGATGCAGTGCTGGATATAAAACCATTGAAGGAAGGAGGAAATCCTGCTGCACTCTGGATCCTGTGACCTTCTGTCACACACGCCAAATATGAACCCTTTCACCTTCCACCCCAGGAAGGAGGTGTGAAACCCCTGTCACATCCCCGGTTTACGACAGTCTCTAGTCTAGGCCATGATTCGGGAGATAAACACAAAGAGAAAAATGGACAAAAACTCACAAATCCACCCCTGATTCAGCAAAAACATCCAATAAAATCCCCCACAAAAAGGAGCTCAGTTTTCTTTATCAAAGTATTTATGTGATTAAATTCACTGCCTCATCTCTTCAGTGCTTCAACTAAATAACCTTAGCAAGCATATACAATAATACAGTTTTGGGCAATACATTTACTTCCTGTCTCTAAATACTACAGTGCTCGTCGCTGATGCCTTTTACAGTATATTTGCATTGTTCAAATACCTCCAGGCGGGTTTATGCTTTGGAATGATTTCCACTTGATTACATTATGAAGGGAGTGATTTTGGGGAGTGGGAGTTATAGAAAAAGGGGGTTGCTCATGTGTCTGTGTGCGTATAATTATGGGTTGGGCAGTTTTAAATGGAGGAGGTGATCACCCTCCGGGCATCGCCGTGGTGACTGGAGCATATGAAGAAGTATGACTGCTCAATCAGGTCACGTGAAGTCGGTCAGGAGGACCACAGACGTTTCCCGTGATGGTCGGCCTAATGTGCCAGACGCGCGTCTCCCTGAGGGGATTCACGCACCCTGAGTGGCACGGGACACACTGAGCCCTAAAAACCCCACACATGTTCAAGCCGTAGACTTTACTCCAGGATTACTTTGTAACCTTTTTTTTTGGTTTTGTCCTTGCAAACGTTAGTCTTTCACCACACACGAAACTGATATCTTGTTGATTTTAAGGCTTTAAAATAACTGGGCCACACCAAGAGGTTTCTCTCGTGACTCATAAACACATTAGCATGACATTTATTTGGCGTAGAGCGCACTGAGTGTGTTTGTGTGCCAGAGAGACAGACTCAGGAATGGAATTGCTTTTAATGGAGCATCTTCAATGAGGATGCTCTGCTCAACCGGGTCCAGCACTGACACAAATGGACAGTAACACTAGTAACAACAACGTACAACAACATATTTGTTTAACCATATTCCCAAAGCTATTATGCATATGACCTATTTTACACTTGTAGCAGAGAAAACATTCAAATCAGGGGTTGCTCTGTGTGATGACGTCTTTGCTTCAATCCTCCTGTTGTGTAAAACCTTAGGAAGAAGCTTGCTGGGCCCAAACAGAGTGGTTTCTTTTTCCCCTTGCCTAACACTCCACCGTTCCTGTTTTCTTTTGTGTTTTCCACTCTCCTAATTTGTGCACATTATGAATGTCTGAAACTCTGTCTGGATGCATTTACCCAAATATCTGATATATTCACCAACACCTAGGGCAGTATGAGCAGCGCGTTTATGCAGGTGTTACTTCAGGGTCTCTGTGTTTAGGCTTCCAGTTTTCCGTTCTCTTGTCATCCGGCACCACACTGCAACAGACTGGATCGTGCCGGATCGAGGGGGTTTACTGGATTGTGTAATGATGTGATTTTGTTAGAAAATGACTCACTTTAGCCTCTCAGTTTCTGTTCAGTTCCTAAACCACTACCTTTTTAGAAGATGGTGAAGCAAACTTAAGGTATATCTGATATACAGCTATCAGAATATCAGCCTGTGAAAAGGACACATTCACAAGGATGTGGTGTGCAGTTTAACACATGCTTAGAGTGTCAGTAACCAGTCAAACCGATCTGATTAGATTTCAAGAGGCCTAGACCTCACGAGCCTGAGAAACCAGGATAACTGTTTGTGTTATGTCTGGAAAGTGTCACTTTGTTTAGGACAGAGGACTGAGAATGAAACATTTCTCCAAAAGAGACACTTATGAATAAACAAATGAATGAATACGTTAAAACATCTGTTCATGCTTGACCATTGGAGTAATGCACAGGAAGTGAGACCCCCTCCTTCTCTGTGGAGGCAGGAATGCTATAATTGAAAACACGTGTGTAAAAACAAGCTTTTTCTCTCTTTTTCTGTGTGTCTGAGTGTGTGTGTGTCAACCTGATGCCTATTTTTGCTTATGTAAGTCTTTTCCACAAGCTCTCATAGTCCGATCTGTTTCAGATTGCTAGTTTTTTCCAGTGGAGTATTGATTTTAATTTATTTCATTTTGAGCTGCTGTGTACTTCTTTCAAATAATTTCTGCTGTGGGGTTAATTGTCACAATGCTTGGTTAGTGGCCAGGTTAATCTATAAAGTGTTTTGCACCAATGAAACTTTGAGAGGTATGAAAGAAAACCTGCAGATGTCAGCCTCAGTATCTTCTGTGTGCTGTACAGGTAGGTTCAATCCTAGTGTCCCGTGTACATACAAAAGTCCTGCAATAAATAATTTCTCCTGTAGAATATAATGCTTCGTTTTAGTTTAATTGTACCTAACAGACTGGCAATAGTGTGTGGAAAAGGATGATCAAATTATCATATTCATTTTTTAAAAATCCTATTCTGACAAAATAATCAAATTAGGAAAATAATAGTTTGCAATGCTAAAAGCAAAACATTTACACAAGTATGGCTAAGACTACATTTTAACAACCTATAAGAGGCTTATGCAATATGATGCAGTGATTTACATTTAAACTAACCAGTGCTCTATACAGTATCTTAGATTATTGTTCATAATGTAACCCTCTGAAAGGAGTGTTTTAAAGCAATCATTAATCTTACATTAGTGTACATTTAGCTGATAACACATCTGTATTTTTACCTAATATGTTTTAATCCATAATTCTGAATTGTAATTAAGTAATTTTTGTATTTTCTTATTTCTAATCATAATTCGTCCACCACATATAGTGTAATATTCGCCCCCAATACATATAAAACATTCTTTCAATCTTTTCTAGTAATTTTCCATTAATTAATCAGTTGAATTAGGTGGCTGACATAGCTCCCAATGCCATAGCAGCATCAAACCATTTTGTATAATCAATGCAAAAATATAGAGGTATATTTTTGCTGGGTATAATGTCACTATTGCCTGGAGTCACGTGATCGATGATTGGTGATGACTGATGACGCGCAGCACTGGCTGTGTGAGCTGGGATGTGATTAACAAGTAGCATCGATTCACATGAAACAGCCCCCGCACTTCCTGATTTTAGTTCCAAAATAAAAGAAAGCTCTTTATAAACCTTGTGGCAATCTTTTATTTTGAAGGTACACTTACGTATACTTCCGATATTGCCACCAGGTGTGATGGATGGCTTTACGCAGCCATGTAAACTACTCTCCCGATACTAGTGGAGTGAAGGCGTAGTTGTAGGGATAAGGATAACACGCTCGTCCACTGTGGGCAAAAGACGCGGCTGCTGCTACAGACACACAGCGCGCACTGACTGACGGGAACCGGGGGGACTGCCTCACCACTGTGAGGCGTAAATGGACACAACATTTCTCAAAAGAAAGACGCTGCCCGCAAAACGACCTGTGTCCCAAATGCGTCCTGGAAATTAATTCGCGTATTTGCTGTATATCAGATCCCCTTTTCCACCCTGCACAACGGAAGTTTCTCTGACCGATTTTTGGAGGATCTTTCATTTATAGGCTGCAAACATGGAAGAGGACAACCAAGGTATGATTCATCAATGCAATTCAGACCAATGAATGGTAGCTGTTTCAGTACTAACAGTCAGGAGACATGTCCCTATTTAGCCTGCTGCTATAATAATACAATTAAAGATAGTGTTATTGATACTAATTCTTGGCCTATATTTTTGTTGTGATTTTAGACTAGACATTCACTTTTTCACGTGTCATTCCAGGTACATGCAGCACATTGATCTTATATGTCCTCAAACAGTCTTCTATTCCACATTAGCATTTTCTTAGATGAGTGACAGAACTCCCTCAGTCATGTTGTGTTATGATATTTTTACGAGCATGCCTTATGTGCTAGATGTGAACCTACCTGGCGGGATGAGGAATAAGACTAAACCAGGTTAAGATCATGCTTGAAGGAATCAGCATGAACACTGTACATATAACTTTCATATTTATGCTGTGGCCGGTAAACTTGTGTTTATCTAGCCGTGGGATGGTCGCTGGTGTTATTCTGGTCCAACAGGTCCTCTCACTGTCAACAAAGCATAGCCAGGAGACACGGATTCATTTATGGACTCATGACCTAAGTGTTGGCACAGATGCGTCACTGCAACAGGAGCCTGCACACCACATCCAAAGCACATAGTTCAGAAGTGGCAGGTTTAGAAACTTTTAAAGTGAAATGTGTTGAGACTGGTTTGTGGCAATACTAATGCCACTATTTCTAGCTGCCTTGTTTATTCAGTGTAACTATGGAAGCCAACTTGAAATATTCTAAACTGTACTTTTATCAATTGAAAGAAGCTATTTTTTTTACTCTAAACAGCCTACAGCCATTCACAGTTGATAAGACAACAGTCACCTGGACACATATATGTAAACGGTCACTGAGCAAGAAACCCAGACTCTCACAGAGTCATGTGGTCATTTTGCATTTCTTTGTAGTCATTTTTGTGCACATTTGTGGTCCTTTCATGGCTTTTACAACAATCAACTGTTACTGATAATGTCTCTTCATAAAGAGGTTCTGGAGAATGAGCCACTGGGCCTGTAGCCAATGGGCATATTCAGTAGTCCGACCATGATACTACCAACAAGTCAACTAGTGGGGTCAATCAGATTTGAGGGGGGTTTTAGCCTTGCCCCTGGTTCAGCAACCTCTACTAAGCCTCTAATCATAAACTGTTTCCTGCAGGTGAGAAACCATTACTGATGTCTCACCTCAGTCAGTGTTATTCCCATGCTTACTGCTGGGAGAGCTGCAGATGTGATTATTTAGCATTGCAATGCATTGCATCGGGCATAAAGCTGTCATTGTGCTGTTTGCGGCTGGCCGGGCCTCCAGCGGTGCCACACATCAGCATAGTCCCACAGACAGGCATATGGTGCTGTGATGCCGACCAGGGATAACTGGCAACAGCCGGGAGCATATAACACACACGCACGCACGCACGCACGCGCACACACACACATTGACTTGCAAACACTGTATATTCACAGCTGCATGCTGACACTGACACTCACACAAATTACATTTCACCCTTCTCCCTTTGGTACTGTTTGCTGTGAAGATAGATGGATGGATCATGACGTAGAATTATAAGTGTATGTGTGTGATTTATGCCACAGTCTGCGCTCTCATCTGGAAATAAAAAGAATGCTGCAGAAAAGAGAGGCTGCAGAATTCCAGTTATTATTATTTTGGTGGTTAGTTTTGTGGTAAATGGTGGAGAACACTTTCCACAAATTGTTACTTTTTATTAGAACAACTTAACACCCACACATTAACCCACAGCAGAGTTGGGCTCACGGAGGGGGGGGGGGAGTAGATAAGCAATAAAACATATGGGTTTTACATACATGGATCTACTCTGTGTGGTTGGTTGGTTGGTTGAGAAAGTTCAATATCTCACAAAGAGAAACACAGATTTTGCCAGGCCACAAGTCAAGTGAGAGGGAGAGAGGTGGCCAGAGTGAGATACGGAGGTTTCAGATGGAGAACAGACCGCGAGAAAAGCGTGGGGAAGGAAATAACGTGTGATTGAAGAGTAAGAGTGAGACACAGTCGTAGTAGCAGCGATGGTGAGATGTCTGAGAGGGAATGAGAGAGCGAGACAGGAGCTGTGTGTGGAGGGGATAAGGGGGGCGGCATGAAGTGCCAGAGCAAGTTGGAAAAGGGCCAAAGAAATCTGGAGTGTGGCCAGTGAGAGACTGCGAGGGACAATGATGGACTAAATATTCTTTGTGAATCAGTTCTCCAGTGTGTTATAGGAGTTTCTCTTCAAGGAAAGCCCTTATTTTCTGTCATAATTAATTAATTAATTTTATTTTCACAAGCTTGAACTCTTCTTTTTGTTGGAAAAATGATGTGTGTTCAAGATGGCCAACCTATCTGCATGGTTTATTTTGTGACGACCTAAGTGTCAGGTACTACGATGCTACACTAGTGACGCTTCTTTCCAACACAAGAAGACACTTTGAAATCTAATTTGAGTGACCAGAGCGTACACATCTGTAGAAATCGATTGGAATCACATTTCAAACCACATTTCAAACCATTTTCAAATGTGGTCATGTCAAACAATGGATTTGGGCTGGTAGTCTGAACAAATCCTTAGTCTTGCTTCTTTTCTTTCTCTTTGTTGGATTTTCCTGTCTCGATTGTCCAAATGTTTTAGATCAGTTACTTTTCTGCAACCACAGTCAGCGTACTGCCCATTCGCTGAATGGACAATAGGCCAGCAGCAGCCCACAAAGGTTTGCTTACAGTGAAGCCTGTCTGATGGAGTGCGGCTTACTGTAACACATTCTGGTTCTGCATTACTGAGTTTGACAGTCCATCAAATGAACACCTACTGTATCTCTGCTTCTCTGTAACCTTTGTTAGATGAGCTGTGATCTGTGTGCACATCGTCAATAGAGACTTCCATATGTCCATATGTAAAGAATCAGAGCATTTATTCTCAACACTCGCTTCATAACACGTCTTGTGACGGCTTGTGAGTTTGGCTGCAGACCGCTTCATTTGCACACTGTGAAAACCAGCCATTTCATCTTGGAACTTCTGTGTGTGTGGTTTGTGAGGTCAAGGCACACTGTAGCCTAACTCAGGCCAGGAGAGATGCGCACCACCAGTTCGGCTTTGAGATTTTAGAGACATTCAGCTGCCGGCCGCAGGACATTCTCTCCAGCTTCCTGCTACGTTTAGGATTTGTGTTTTTGTCTTTGGAGGTGATTTGCAGCTGCTGTCTTTTCCCACACAGCTAACACACTGTCAGGTGGGTAAGAGAGGAGCATTCTAGCGTATTCATCTTATAGGTGCCTTTGTCCATATACTTTTTCAAGAGGGGTCCCTCAGTGTATCTACAGAGAGTTGTGGCTATGTATGTTTACTTCAAGCCTGAGGCAGCAAGGATCTGTATGCAGTCTGTGTGACGGTGAAGCACCTGAGGGCCCCTGAGGAAGATGGGAGCACCAGAGGGACATGCAACTGAGGCCCTATGCAAAACTTACCTCCACAAAGAAAGTCTGGTCACTCACATTTGAGGGTAAATCATGTGGCATTGACAGTATAAAGGTTTTAATACCTGAGTGCAGTTTTCTGTCTTCTTTTTTGTCAACTGTCTGTTGAATTCAGGTAGGTTTGGCAGATACATTTTTGCTTTGTACTATAGCATATCCAATGGACAAGTTGTTTTTATTTAATGGCTTAAGGCTACAGAAGGAAAACAAAAACATGACCTACCTACTTCCTGCAACTTGTGAGTGCGCTCCATTTCCCTGACCCGAGGGGTTTCATAATTGTAACCACAGGACTGACCTCTGCTAACCTGCCATGTGAAAAGACATTCACTTTGATTGATACATTTGTGTATTACCGCTTAAAGGAATAGTTAAACTGGAGTGGGTGTCTGGGCTTTGTTTTTACATTTAGTTTATTTTATGAAAAAGTTAAACTTCTGCTATAGTTGGTGGATTATTTTGTGGCCTCCAGACAGAGACAAGCGAGTTGTTTTCCTCTGTAACACTCTTTGTGCAAAGCTATTCTAACTGGCTCACTGGCTTATCAAAATGTTAACTTTTCCTTTAAGATGCAACACCAATGACTAGAAGAAAACTAATTGTTTTTGTTGGCTCTGTTAGTTTTACCAGAGATATGTTTGGTAGAGGTGTGCGACTCACCTCTGTTAAAAAGTGTGTTTTCTCTGTTTTGACAAACGTACGCTTCACACTCTGTCATGCATTAGCAGTCCAGCTCACTACGGCTCAGTAACTGCTTTGAGAAGCTGATGGGGAGATTAAAAGACTTCTGGCTTCTGTATGGGGACTCGACTTTACTGTATAGACATATAGTGTGTGTGTGTGTGTTTCATCCTTGACAAAAAGGTCAGTGAACACAGAGGGCCCTTGTTGAGTTTAGCCTCCTTGAATATCAGATGGCACATTACATTTACTCATGAACATCCCCTTAGTGGTTTAAGTTCGACTCAACTGACATTAAGTCAGGCTGGCCCATATGGAAGGCAACTTTTAGGATTTAAACATGATCTAGTTGCATGAATAAAAGCATTGAACATGACGCATGTGTGCAAATCCTGCTGTACCTCTACTCAGTTTTCTCTGCTTTGAAAAAGGGTTTAAAGTACTTTTATAAGTGACTCTGACTCTTATGGCAACACTTAGTTTTTGTCTGGAGCAGAGGAAGAAAAGCACACGTTGGTTTTTTAAGTATCCTGTTTCCTCTTCATCTAACACACGGCACTGTGCAGTAAAGGTCTAATGCACAACAGAGTCACAGATCTGTCTTTCTCACATTAGGAACATCAAGGGGCTCGTAGAGGGCAAAACCTTTTCCTTTCTGGAAAGAAAAATCAGAGCGTGCTAAAATGTCCCAGGAGTCTGAAGTCATGTGCAGAAGTGAATTTCAGGCAAAGAGCGTTGTGCTCCACTTGGGCCTTTGTGGGAATTCATTGGTTGCATTAAAGTGTGCGTGTCAGGTCTGTCGGAAAGGAAAGAGAAGGCCGAATAGAG